CTAGAATATTTTTTTTCGAAAAACATCGTTTACTGCTGCGTGAACCACTTTTCTGCCGAAAACGTCGCAGTTGGCCTGTCTTTAAGGTACTGGTAAAGTGCTGCCTTAAGGGTATACGCAATCGAATGCATACATTACTTTTAGTTTATTTGAAAATAGGGAAGCATATTTTAGAATGCTGTCCAAAATTAGTCTAAAATATTAGCATGTGCATTTCAAGTCATTAACTTAGTTGTTACTCTGTCAGCATAATTAAAGATAGCTTACTAAATTATTTCATGGTGAGGCTATATACTGTTTTGTGCTTTTCATGACAAGAACGAGATAAACAATTTCAAGTGTCATCAACAAAACAGTTCGAACCAAATTTACTTAAAGCTGATTAATATTTGCTAGTTTACTTGCACCACTCTCAAATTGCTTAACTAAAGAATGCAAAATATTACCCTATTGTCAGCGAGCACGACGAAGAATATTTTCAGGATAATATATAAATTAAGTGAAGCTTTAAATAAGCCAAGATATATATGAGGAAATATAAAAATTACATGCCATGCGTTGTTTCGATCTCCAATCGTATAATATACGTTGCTAATAAATGCAATTTCGAACGACGTCATTAATAATGGCAAAGTAACACAATTACCTGTGTACTTAAACTGTCAATTGTTAGTAGCAATAGGAATTATCAAACATAATTGAGTCCAAATATATTTGATCGTGCTTCCTTGTGGATACCTGCTGGCTCATTGTTGTGTTTCGTCTTGTGAACTAAAACTTATTCTCTGACACTGTGATTTACAGATAGGTTGCTTTTGTCCTACTATTTGGTTTTCGGATCGCACATTTCTTAATATTTTCATACATGCGATCAACATAAGTATATCTTATATGGTGGTCTGTTTTTAAGAGCCATCGCACCTAAGCAGAACTACTCTCTTGCAAAGACCTTCAGAATTCTAAGCGATTTATGTTTTTTTTATTACGACTACTTCACGCATATGATGGAACTGAGTTTTGGATGTAAATAACTTATTTTTAAAATAAGGGTATAACATGTGCGGTGATAAGATATCCTCTTAGATTTCCCTTCCACATGATCTTTCATTAACTGTACGTGAAGCAAAGAAGTCAATTCAGCCCCAATTTTTCCTTTACTCGGCTGCACTCTCATCACGCGAGGCCTATTATTAGTAAAAGTATAGGGGGGTCGGATAAAATGGCTACTTTAGCAACATTTTCAATTATTTGTATGCAACTGGGATGAGAAGCCCGACCTAATTCTCCTCAAGTGGTCGGTACAAATTTTGTATATAAAGAATACCTTGAATGTCTTCATTGGCCTTCTCACGCCACCTGGAAATAGAGGTTCATGCTGTCTAGAGGAAGCAATCAGGTTCCTTTTAACGAGGCTCGTTTATGCACTGCCCCGATTAAACACACACGAGCCGTTTACGAGATCTTTTGCGAGTGCGATCAAAGCAAGTACGCTGGTGGGACTGCAAATAATTCCATAGCTAAAATAGCAAAAAAGAACAAGCCTACCTATAGCTGCTAAGTCCCTCAATGACACTCGATCCTTTCTTCGAGGTCGTCTATGTCGACGTCCCAAATAAAAACTGCACCATGCCCTCTATTAGTAGATAATAATCTTTGCTTCGGCGCTCTTTGAATAATATATGCAAAGCCACTTTCCTTGCTCATATAAGAGGTTTGCAAATATGTAAGACTGTAAACTTTGTCGATTCAACTTTAACCTCTATAAAAGCGTGTGGCAATTTTCCATATTTAAGTACCATTAGCGCTGCTTCGATAAAAAAAAATAGTAATCGTTCAGTACCTTACAAAATACACCACCATACTTTTTTTGCTTCTGATTTCGCCAAACCAAAAAAAATTATAGTAATGGTCTACTGTAATGTTTTCTGAAACAGTGTGAAATTTAAAATGCGTAGCTATTTCCCTGTGGTAAATATCCTGAAAACAGTGCCACAAAATGTGAGTCCATTACCGCAATGTTCAAACGCAAATGGCTGCATATGCACAACGCAACAAAATTCGGAAACGAAATGTGACCGTTAATATATTCCCTAAATGAAGTACTGAATTAAAACTGCAACAAGACTACTGCATAGGAAGATTTATATAAGAAAGTATTAAATAACTGTTTAAAAGGAATTATACTATGGGTATCATTTGCTTTAATATGGTTTGTCTAGAATTGTACCAAAACATTAAGAGCAAATCAGGGTATGTTCTATACTTTCCGATGTACCTTTATGTGTTTTAGTTAGTGATGATGCTTTAAGTGTAACGCCTGCAAAAAACATAACAAATTTTAGATTGAATGGATGTAACCAGAATAACTTAATGTATTGGTAAACGTGGTTAAACTAATTAATACCAATTACAAGGAGCTGTGACAACAGTTTATGAAAATCGCAAGTAAAAATCTTACAAGAACAGCCAAGAAAGAAAAAGAGCATATGCTTGTATCGCTTGTGATGTGAGACCCGTTGGATGAGAAGACGTAGGACACTGAGGACGAAGGAAATAAGGCAACTGACGCAGGCAACTATGGCGAACTTTTGAACGGTGGCGAATCCGGCTTGAAACAGAAAAAAAGTATATCAATTTAGTTGTTATAAACTAACTATACCTCTGTACGTTTCCATACTCAGGAGGTAAATGCATACTATATTATTTAACGTGGTTTTGTAAATATCGTATAAAATAAGACAAAGTTAAGTAACAACGGGATCCCGAGTATTTGTTTTAAACCAGTTGACATCTGTAGTTATTCGGCGAAGATTTTAAATCTGAACAATTACGTTCATTAACAACCAACACAGAATATTTTTTTCGGCAATCTTAAACAGAAAGCGAAGGGTATGAGATAGGCATGTTAACACGTTTCTTAAGACACAGGTAAACAACTTGTACATATTTTGTATACGAATTTGAGATGCAACTAACATTAGTAAATTTGTAGACGCCACTCGGTTCCATAAATATAGCCTGGCTTATTTATGTGGGACGCTGTCGTTTAGTTGGCTTCATATCCTAACTGAATTGTAATGTTTCTGATTTTATTTACGAGCAACATTTTTCGTTATGCCCATGTTAATATTAACGGTAAATCTGCTTCGAAAGTACCATTAGCGTATGAACATGTTAAATACGGTCATTAAGGAATAATATGTTACGACTTGCAATATTTGATTTACCTTCCGTTGAAGTTAGTACATATATGCCGAGCATCTCTTTAAAGGTTGCACAACTGCTGTTATGTCATTAAGAGCTTTGCAGAAAAACGGTTACATACTTTTGTCGCCTTCCATGTTTGTATGCCATCTAGCTGATAATTTAAACTGATATTTTACTACTATGTC